CCCCCCCCCCCCCCGTACCGCCCCAGGTGGACGAGCTGTACCGTGACCAGGAGGAGTGGACCCGCCGCTCCATCCTCTACACCGCTTCCAACGGCTTCTTCTCCTCTGACCGCACCATCGACCAGGTGCGTGCGCGTGTGTGTGTGTGTGTGTGTGTGTGTGTGTGTGTGTGTGTGTGTGTGTGTGTGAGCGCCTGTGCGCGCGCGTATGTGTGCGTGTGGGTGGGTGGGTGTTTGTGGGTGGGTGTTTTTGTGGCGGCTGGTTAGGTAGGGCCTCCCGATACAAGTTGGTGTGCGTGGGAGGTGCGGTGCTGGGCTGGGTTCCTTCGCTGCCAGCAGCCGCCCACCTGACCACACCTCTGTTGCCCCTGCCCCTGCCCCTGCCGCAGTATGCCAAGGAGATCTGGAATGTGCAGCCCACCCCCCAGCCCTGAGCTGCAGCCTGTCTAAAGCCCCGCGGCCGCCTCTGCCTGACCCCGGCGAGATCAGCAGGCACACCACACCAACCCAACCCAAACTCCCAACGCACGCAACCAGCGAGCGCAAGCGGCGGCGGCGGGCGGCGGCGGCGGCCCTGCGCCGTGCGGCGCGGCCTGAATTCGGCCGCGCGACAGGGTGGGGGCCCCGCCGCCCAGCCCAGCCAGCCCACCCGCCAGTGTATTAGCCTGTTCTGAGGCGTGAGCTCCCGCGGGGCATTCGGGGCTGCGGCGCAGCAGCCTGCGGCGCAGCCAGCCCTCCCGGTGTATTTTTGTTGCATCCCCTCCCTGCTCCCTTCTTTTGTTTAGCTTCGGTTTCAGAGAATCGGCGCCGCAGAATGACACACGCCTCGGATGCTGCTGCTACGCCCCACCCCACCGTCGTGTATCGCACTATTCATAACACGTTCTGTCGCTGTCAACCTTTTAAGTCATCGGTCTGTTTTGTAAGCCAGAGTTTGGGTTGTAAGAAAAGAAGCAAGTGCAGGGAGTTGGGTACACGGTCGAGCAGGGAAGGCAGAGGAAGCTTATTGGGGTGGTGGAGGAAGAAAGTAGAAGATAGTTAAAGCAAGGCAAAGCCAGCGAAGTCCAAGAGGCGCCATACCGCGTATCGCGGCCGCCGCTCCTGCCCATTTGTCAGTTACTGGGATGCTAACGGCTGGTGTGGAGTGGTTGCCTAGCACAACACGCAGCGCCGGTTTCACGCCAAACAGCCCTCCCTGTCCACAGCGGCCATCGGCGCCGGTGCCCACAACGCAGGTTGGCACAGCCCCAGCGCTTGCCCTCCGTTGCCCTCCCTCCTTCCCCTGGGGGAGCTGTCATCACTTGCTGCCACCACCGCCACCGCCGCCACACGCGCAGCCTCCCGCCGGGCGCGGGGCGCGCCCGGGGAGGGCGCTAGGCGGCGGCCGCCGCCGCCGCGATGCCCAGGCTGCCGATGCGGCGGGAGGCCACCAGCGCGGAGCGGGCAAACATCTCGTCGGTGCCGATGCGCGAGGCGTTGACCAGCAGGGAGCGGCCTGGCGGCACGCCGTGCAGGATGCGGTGCTCGCGCAGGTAGGTGGAGAAGGTTGAGGGCCCGAAGCCCACAAACTTTGTCGGCGCGGGCCAGGATGAGGAAGTCGAGCAGCGCCAGCTGCTCGCTGTTCAGGCCTGCGGGCGCGGGCGGGGCGGGGGGTGCACATCAGTGTGGGTGGGAGGAGGCAGGGGTGGGACGACTTGGGGGCGGGTGTGTTGCGTGTACGCGCTCCTCCCGAACGGGTGGGAGGCGGCAGGGGGTGCAGGCGCACATGCCGCCCAGCCCCAAAGCCTCCAAATTTCTGACTGCTGCCCCCCAACCAGCCACCGCCGTTGCGCGGCGCACCCACATACCGTATCTATCATACTGGTGCACATGCCAGCCCACCCCCCGCCCCCCCGCCGCTCACGCTGCAGCTCAAAGGGCGGCACCCCCACCCCCACCCCCACCCCCCGCCGCTCACTCTGCAGCTCAAAGGGCGGCACGTACTCCTCCTTGTACAGCACCTCGCTGCACATGCGCTCCCCAATCAGCAGCGCCACGCCCGTCTGCAGGGGGCAAGGTGTGTGTGTGTGTGTGTGTGTGTGTGTGTGTGTGTGTGTG